AAGGTACAGCGGCGTGGCGCCGTCAGCATCCTTGGCTCGATCGGCCGCCGCGCCCGCCTCGAGAAGCAGCCTGGCGCACTCGTGCTCGCCGTTCTGGGACGCAACGTACAGCGGCGTGGCGCCTCCAGCATCTGCTTGGTTGACCGCCGCGCCAATCTCGAGGAGCAGCCGGGCGCACTCGGGGTGGCCGTTCTGGCACGCCATGAACAGCGGCGTGACGCCATCATCCGCGGCTTGGTTGAACGCCGCGCCAGCCTCGAGGAGCAGCCGGGCGCACTCGTGCTGGCCGATCTGGGACGCAACGAACAGCGGCGTGAAGCCTCCAGAGTCTGCTTGGTTGACCGCCGCACTGGCCTCGAGGAGCAGCTGGACGCACTCGGGGTAGCCCCCCTCGCACGCGAGGAGGAGAGCGGCAGCGCCTTCACCGTCAGCCGCCCCGGCGCTCGCGCCGCCCTCGAGCAGCAGCCGCACCGCCTCGGCCTGCCCGTGCCGAGCGGCCCAGGTGAGCAGCGTGTCCTGTTTCTCGGTGTCGTGCCGCGCGTCGAGCTGGGCCGCGAGCGACGTGCCGCTCGCCCCCTGCCCGGAGAGGAAGGCGAGCAGCGAGGCCAGGTCGCCCTGAGCCAGGTCCGCGAGCACGAGGGCGGGGCTGATGGCGCCGCTCATACTGTGTTTTTCTCACGCCTGAAAGAAGAATTCTACGAACACAAGCCCCTCTCACAGCAGACTGGCACGAACTAGCACCACAAAAGGCACAGCAGACAACGGCCCCTTATGGGCCGTCGAAGAGGCCGTCATACTCCTCCGGCCTCGCCCCCCCTTCCCAACCCTCCCCTGGCTCAGGCTCCTCATCCTCGCGGCGCGCAGTGCGCACCCCGCCCCGCGAAGACGAACCCTTCCGCCGGCGTGCCTCGCGGGACTGCCGCCCGCTGCCGCCGCCCTTCCCCCCCTCCGCTGCCCGCGCCGCCTTCTCCGCCGCCCGCGCGGCCGCCTTCGCCTCCTCCGCCGCTAACAGCGCCTCCCTCCGCGAAACATTAATCGACTCACTGTCGAGCGTAGGCCTCCGAGCGTAAGAGCGAGGCTCTGGGGTTGCGTTTGGGCTGCCACGAAAACACAGGACCGTTGCAGTCATCGCCACCACCCTTGGCAGCACAAAGCCGCGCCAGACGTCCGCCAGCTCCCGCGGCTTGTTCACTCCCGGGCACGGATCCCTAGTTAGGAAGGGGGCGGACCCGTCCCGAACGCGTCAAACGGCGCACACGTAGGGGCACAAAAGGACACGCGCGCACCGAACGCTCACGCGCTGTTGCGGCTGCTCCGTGGTTTGTCGGAGCCGCTGGTACGCGATATGAGCAGCGCTCCGATGCCGCCCTGCCCAAGCCCGCAGCATGTCGCCAACCATACCGGCGACCACGCCTGCGGCGGGATGCCCATTGTTGTCGTTGTCATGAGCCTGCTGACGCCAGAGCGTGCGCAGTGGGTCGAGGAGCTCCGGACCGCGATGCCAGATTTGGTCGTGATGCGGTCCGTGTCTGGGTACAACCAGACCGAGGCCAGGCTGGCGCTGCGGCGAGCGGGGCTGCGGTTCCACGCTTTGTGCAAGCAGTGGGAGCGATGGGGCAACGTGGCCACGCACGCCAGCCGTTTCCTCGCGTTTGAGTGGCAGAGCCGCTGCCGTGTCCCTTACATGGCACTGCTGGAAGACGACCTGCGACTCAGGCCCGCATTCAAAGCGACAGGGAGGCTGCACGATTGGCTCCGCCGCACCGCGTGCGAACTAGAGTGATGGTTGGTGGTACTCTCCTGCAACCACAGTCCTTCTTGTGACATGGCAGGCCACTCTCAAGCCCTACAAGCATCAGATCACCCATTTGGGCAGGGTTGACACGTGATTTGCATTTGGAAAATTCCAGCTTGACGAGGCTCGACAGCGCCTTCGGTGGCATGCAGCTCTTTGCGACAGAAGCCTGGAGAGCAGCTCCTCTGCTGCTCACACGCTCTGCACAGTTGACACAGCCTACTGTGCGGCTGCCACAGCTGTGACAGCGATGGGCTCGCCCTCACTGGCCCTCAGTCACTTGTGCTGCGGCTTGTGTGAGCGACACTGCTCGGCGACTGCCGCTTGCCGGCACACTGTGAGACCATGGGTGTGAGGTGAAATCACGCTAGACCAGCGCTTGGTCACATCGGCCCCGAGGTCAGATCGTTCTACCCTGTTGATGACAAGGTAAGCGGTAGAGTACGGTGAGGTAAAACTTCTCCACACACACGAGGTGGTGGGGCAAGGGGGGGCAACCCTCGCGTCTCCACGTCTAACGACAGGAGCCCCACGGCATTCAAAGTGCAAGGCCCGTTGCGCGTGGGTGAGCGGTGTGTGTGACAATACTTGTCTACTGGCTGTGGAGCCGAGAGCAGGAGGGCCTGGCGCGCACAACCCCTGGTCAACTCAGGGTCCTTCCCCATCCCCTTTATGTGTGTGTTGTGTGCGTGTCAGTGTGAACCTGGGCCCGCGGGGGGTCGGGCGGGTGTATCGCGGGATCTGACCGCGTCATGACGGAGTCTTGATACGTGGCTGGGTTCACAGCAATTGTAGGGAAACGAAGGGACCAAATCACGGTCGCGGCCTTCCGACTCGCGCCTCCGCCTCACTGGCACTATTGTAGCCCTGGCCGGTGCGCGTGCGGAGTTGAAGTCCCGGAGTGAAAATTCGAACGCGTTCTCTCACGGTGACCAAAAAATGTCCACCTCAGAGGCACCTCCGGAGGCAGGCCGCCGCACGCCGGCGACACAGCTCCAGCTGTCGAGCTGACCCGCAGCTCCTCTCAGAGCGGGAACTGTGACGAAAGTTGACTGAGGCGGTTGTCAGGAATCATCATACGGATCACATGGTGGCTCTCTCATGACGGGAGACCGCCCGACCACTCCTGGGTGGCACTGTCACCGGTGTCGCTCGACGTCCTGTCTCGACAGCGTGCCGACAGCGACACAGATCATGTGGGACGCGTCGAGTATCGACCTCTACTGCTTACCCAGCCTTCGAGTGTATCCTGGCTGTGGTCCCACACCCACTGGTGTCCATCTCAGAGACCGCAGGAGGTCATGAGGGTCGATGGGAGTGCCAACCCCACAATGCCTAAAAACCCAGCCCAGTACCTCCCTGACACACTCGACGCACTTGACTCACACGTCTTCAGGCCACCGACTTAGACACATCCGCCCACATCGCTCTCTCAATATCGCACAATGCTGAGGACACAGAACCCCCCGGGCGCCTCCGCCCCCGCTCCACCCCGATGGCGCCGCTTCAGCACGCATCGAATCGACGCGCTCCTGCCCGCGCTCTAGCACGAGTACGAGGGCCGCTCCTTCTCTGTCGCGAGCCGGAGCCTCTCGCCGGCCTTGCGCAGCAGCTTGCGGTTGTACACGATCTGGTCGGCGTTGAAGTAGGTGTAGAAGGCGATGAGCAGGAGCATGGCGGCGAAGCAGGGCGAGAGGAGGCGCGGCTCCGACGCGACGCCTGAGCAACAAAAGAAAGACCCGTGGGCAACAACCGGAAGCGTGCCGCGGGCGCGGCTCTGGCCCCAAGGCCGCACCGTGCGGGGTGAGCAGCGGGGGCAGGAAGCCCGTGTACGCGAGGCGCAGCGAGGCGGCGGCGATCGGGGCCCACCAGACGACGCGGCACGCGTAGATGGCCGCGAGGACTGCGGCCTACGACAGGACGCCACCAGAGCTGCGTCGCGGGTGTGAGTTGCGGTACTGTGTCGTGCGTTCAGGGCCGTGGACGCAGCTGAGTGCAGCTGAGTGCAGCTGAGTGCAGCTGAGTGCAGCTGGGTGCAGCTGAGTGCAGCTGAGTGCAGCTGAGTGCAGCGGGGTGCAGCGGGGAGCGGGGTGCGTGCCCTCTAGCTAGAAGACACAGTCCGTCTCTGCCGCCTCTGGGGAGTGCGGTCCTGGAAGCGGTAGAGAAAGCGAGGCCACGCCTGCGCCGGCGTCTGGTGCAGCACGATGGCCGCGAGGATGAAGACACCTGGGTGTGGCACGAGTCGGTAGCTGGGTGAGCTTCTCCACACGCACGCGACGTGGTGGGGCAAGGGCCAGGCTATCCCTCGCATCTCCACACCCAGACACGGGCAGGAGCCGCTCGGCACACGCTGTGCAAGGTCGTGTCGTGCGTGGGCGTCTACCGGCGCGACTCACATCTCCCCATATCTCCCCACATCTCCCCACATCTCCCCACATCTGCCGGCGGACAACTGCGGCGCGTGTGTGTGTGCCGATGTCAGCGGCGGCTGGAACTGCATGCGGCGTCATGACAGGCACCGGACAGGTGCGCAGAGGCGACGACGTGCAGCATGAAGGTCTTGGAGAGGAGCGGGCCCGCCTAGTACCATACCTCCAGAGTACCGAACCCAGTGAGGCTCAGTCCCGGTGGTGGTGCGGTAGCAAGGGTCTGCCATGAGGCCGATGAGCTCGTAGCAGATGGCGAAGAGGTGGTGTGGCACCTGGCGAGATGTGGGGAGGTGAGGGGAGAGGCGGGGAGACGTGGGGAGAGAGCGAGAGCGAGAGCGAGAGCGAGAGCGAGAGCGAGAGCGAGAGCGAGAGCGAGAGCGAGAGGGGAGAGAGAGAGAGAGAGAGAGAGAGAGAGAGAGAGAGAGAGAGAGAGAGAGAGAGAGAGAGAGAGAGAGGGGAGGGGGGGGGGGCAGAGGGGGAGAGAGGGAGGGACAGAGACAGAGACAGAGACAGAGACAGAGGGGCGCACCAGCACCGCGTCCACCGACGGGTGGTGGCGCGTGAGCGTGTGGTCTGCGCCGGTGGCTCGCCGCCAGAGCAGGGCGAGGATGTCATACGCCTGGGGAGATATGGGCGAGATCTGGCGAGATCTGGGGAGGTCTGCCGCCAGAGCGAGGCGGGGATGCCATACTCGCCTCCACTCCCATGTCTGCGTACAGCGCGAGGTAGAAGAAGGATGCGTCGCCGCTCGAAAAGTAGAGCAGCGGCAGCAGCAGCTGCGCGGGCGGGCGAGAGGGGCGAGGGAGAGAGTGAGGGAGAGAGTGAGGGAGAGAGCGAGGGAGAGAGTGAGAGAGAGAGTGAGGGAGAGAGTGAGGGTGACGGTGTTGGGCTGGCGGCATATCTCCCATATCTCCCCATATCTCCCCATATTCCCCCATATCTCGAGCCCTCGCCCCCTCGACGGTGTGGCATATCTCCCAGATCTCCCAGATCTCCCCCCATATCTCCATCTCGCTCCATATCTCGAGCCCTTCCCTCGACGGTGTGGCATATCTCCCAGATCTCCCACATCTCCCCCCATATCTCCCCATATCTCGAGCCCTCACCCCTTCGACGGTGTGGTGGAGCGCAAAGATCACCTGCCCGTTGCCGACCGGGCGCAGGTGCGCCGACGTCTCGCCTGCAAAGAGATATGGGGAGATATGGGGAGATACGGGAGATATGGGAGATATGCCGACGTCTCACCGTAAAAGTCCCACGCGTTCATGAACGGCGCGCGGTACCTGCGGCGGGAGATCTGGGGAGATCCGGGGGAGATCTGGGGGAGATCTGGGGGAGATCTGCCCGTGCCGACCGCCGCCAGGAGGGCGGGCTTACCAGCGCGACGGGTGACAGCGCGAGGGGTGGGCGGCGGTTCCGTCCCGCGTGTGCGCGCGTCTCCAGCCACAGAGAGAGAGAGAGAGAGAGAGAGAGAGGGAGGGAGAGAGAGAGGGAGGGGTGAGGGAGGGGGGAGAGAGAGAGAGAGAGAGAGAGAGAGAGAGAGCGAGCGAGAGCGAGAGAGAGAGAGAGAGAGAGCGAGAGGCAGGCAGGCAGGCAGGCAGGCAGGCAGGCAGGCAGGCAAGCAGGCAGGCAGGCAGGCATGCAGGCACAGCATCTAGTTGCGCGGCACGGAAAGGAGAGGCCCTTCTCCTTCAGCGCATAGTGCCGGTAGCACCACTCGTTGTGCTTGCGGTCGAAGAGCTCCGCCATGTAAGAGACCGCCTCGCGAGCGGCCGCCTCGCGCCGCGCCGCCTCGGTCGCCGGCAGCGCGACGCCACGGAAGGCGAGGAACTTTCCGAGCTGCTCCGCGCTCGCCTCGGGGACCGGCACGTCGAACGGCGCGCTGTTGCCGGGCGGGTCGGGCCACGGCAGCACGCTGGGCAGGCTGCACTTTGCCGCGTCGAAGTGGGTGAAGAGGAGCCGCGCGATCGTATCGGCGATTCTCATGGCCGCATTGGTCACGACGCCGGCCACGACCACCGAGAGCAGGAATCGCAGGACCGAGAAGTCACCGATCACCACGTCCGGCGCAGTCATCCCGCCGAGGCTGATCTCAGAGGCGGCCACGCGGAAGGCGGCGTCGAAGCATTCCGAGGTGACGCACCAGTCGACCAGGTTGCCCGCGGCGGCCATCTCGGCGCTGGGCCAGAGCCCGAGTGCGGCGATGCCGTGGTCGACGCTGTGGATGACGTCGGAGATGGTCGGCGGTGGAGCGGCGACAAGGCCCACGAAGAGCGCGGCAGCGGCGGCGGCGGCGGCGAACGTGCAGGTCCCGGCGTGCGAGGACATGGTGCTTGCCAAATTGCATCAAGGCTGCATCAACGCTTCAATTCGCCTCGAAACCTCGCGAGGAGCTCACCCATGCATGGCCGATCCTAATAGACAGCTTGCTGAATGCGCGAAAAAGAAAGCTAGAGGCACAAATCCACCGCTTTTCACCGAGTCCGTCCCAACCGATCGGAATCACCCGAGTGAATCACGCAAGGCACGCCGTGTCCATGTCGACTCGCCGGGGCCGCGCCGGGCCGCACGCCCCTGCTCCGGCAGACGCGGCGCCGGCGCGGCTCAGGCGCTGGGTCAGCGCGTGCGACCACCGAACCACCCGGAGAAAGCAGCGCACGATGCGTGCGACTTGGGTCTCGCTCGACGACCCTACGGGGGCTTCCACATCCTCCTGGAGCGTGCGACGACGAGTGTGCTCCGTGGCGTGGCTCGCCGTGCTTTGCTTCAACCTGTCGCTGGCTTTCTCGATCGCGACACGGAGCCTGCCCGCCCGCTCGCACACGGTGCTGCCGCCGCGAGGCTCCGTCGTCCTGGTGACTGGCGCCAAGTCGGGGCTCGGCCTGGCCTCGGCGGCCAGCCTGGCGGAGCAGGGGTACACCGTGTGGGCCGGCATGCGTCCCTCCCACCTCAACCGCTCCATCCCGGAGCTCGACCACCCAAACATCGAGCGCATTTCGCTCGACGTCACCGACGAGGCCGACGTGGCGGCGCTGCAGGCGCGGCTGCAGAACGTCACTCTGGCCGCGCTGGTGAGCAACGCCGGCGTGGCGCACAAGATTGGCCACGCCGCCTACGTCGACGACGCCCACCGCCTCTTCGACGTCAACGTCTTCGGCGCGATGCGAGTCTTCTCCGCCTGCCTGCCGGCGCTGGTCCGGAGCGGCGGCCGCCTCGTCCTTATCACCTCCTTCCTTAGCGTCGTGCCGCTGCCGGGCCTGGCGACGTACACGGCGACCAAGGCGGCGCTGGAGGGCTGGGCCGCGGCCGTCCGCATGGAGAACATCGTCCCCGTGAGCACCGTCATCGACGGCTTCATCCGGACGCCAATCTCGGACACGGACAGTCACTACCACAAGCCTGGGTGGCCGTACAAGCGGTCGGTCGGGCCGGGCGGGCTGCAGCAGACGTGGATGGACGCCTTCGACACGCAGCTCGACGAGCACACCGGCGCAGTCGCCCGCGCCATCGCCGACCGGTACCCGCGCCACCGCTACGTGGTCGGCTGGGACGCCACGCTGACGATGGCGGCGGTGTGGTTCTTCCCGGGCTGGCTGGTCCACCTGTTCATCAACGGGCTCTACGACTGGTTCGGGTAGGGCGTGCGCCCGCGCGACGGTCGGGCAGATCCTTTACTTGTGGTGCGTGTGTGTGTGTGTGCAGTGCTGTGTCTTCCCACATTCAGACAGTCAGAGGAGCGGGAGAGGGCGAATGCCCCCCGTCACGCCGCTCACTTCTCTTTCTAGTGGCAGCGCTCTTGTCGGGCGGGCTGGTATGTTGGCGATGAAAAATAGAGAAACCCTGTTCGAGGGCCCATATGCCCCATGTTGGCGGTGAAAAATAGAGAAACCATGTTCCAGAGGGCCCACATGCAGGGGGCGTTTGCCCCCCGCCCCCCGCCCCCCCCCCGAAAAAGCCGTATATCTAGAGCTTGTAGCTTCTTGAACGGCCCACCTACTCCACGGCCGAGGCGTCGCCCGCCCCTGCAAGCCCGCCCGTCTCGAGCCGCTCGGCGGCGTCGAAGCGCGAGAAGGCGAAGCGCGTCTCGTACGGCGACGGCACCTCGTACATGGCCGCTGAGCCCTCGATCGCGCCCTCGGCGTTCGCGCTCGTCTCGAAGAGTCCTTCCTCAGGGTAGATGTCGGTGGCTCCGTGGCGCGGCGAGTGGGAGGAGAAGCTCTGCCCGACGATGCCTAGAGGAAAGCTCGAGGCTGGCCTTCTCGGCTCCAGAAGCATCGGAGAACAGCTGCCAGTGCGTGACAATGCCGTGGGGGAGCGAGCGGGCGGCAGCGCCGTCTGCTGCGCTGATGCTGACGTCGAGCCGGTGGCGCGGGCCGGAGAGCCGATCGTACACGTGGTTGCCTGACGTAGCAGTCGTGACGCGCGTCAATCGTGCCGCCCGAACGGCATTGCTTTTATATTCCTCCCCCTCCGCGTGGTCGCCTGTGACGCGGGTCGTCCAGCCCTTCTTGTCCTCAATTGTCGCCGAAGAGTACCCGACGCGGGTGACTAGCTCCTCGCACGTCTTGTTGCCCGTCGCGCCGAGCTTGAAAAAGTGACCGCCGCAGGTGCCGTTCACAAAACGCCATCCTACAGCGTACGCAGACCGTCTGGCTAGCGTGCGGGCTCCTCCCACATCCACGCGAGGGCTCGTGCCGGTGTTGAAGGCGTCAAACTCGGACGCCCACACAGAGAGGTTGGCCCACTTCCGCTTGGCGCCGCCGACTCGAGCAACCACGTGTACCTAATTTGTGCAGACGCTTGGTGATTTACCAGCGTCTCTCTTTCGACGGGGGGGGGGGGGGGGGGACTGCGCCCCGGTGATGAAGGAGCCGTGCACAAGCAGCTGGCCGCCGTGCAATCTGAAGGTTGCGTTCTCGGTCTTGACGTTGCAGGCCAAGCCGGGGGCTGAGAAGAAGGAGTAGTACCTTCTCCGGGGAAAGTTATTTAGTACGACCCCGGTTTCGGATATCGGCGAACGATCGGAAGGGTGCCGCCTGCGCACAAATGGAGTCCAGCGATGTGGGACCTCAGTCCCAGAAGCTTGGAGCTTCAGGCCGCGACCACGCGGCTAGGTGGACACTAAAGTGCCATTTTGGCGCCAAATCTTGGCGGGAAATGACACGTGGCTTGGCGGGAGTGTGGTGTGGCTGCGCTAATCGCCAGCGCTGCTGTTGAGCGCCAGCTGCTGCTCCCTTCAGCCAGACGGCCGGGCCTGCGCAGCACGACCGCTGGCCTTCCTCCTGCACCACAGGAGCGCGCCAAGGCGCGCGTCTGGGCAAGCAGTGCGTCTCATCGCGATGCGAGAGTCGACGCTGTGACGCCGCCGCTCGCCGGCTAGAATGACAGTGGCAGCATTCGAGTACGCGTCGAGCTGTGCGTACCAGCACTCGTATGCGAGCTCATTGTGTCCCTGAGCTGCTGTGGGGTGCGTGGGCTCAGCTGCGGAGCACGTACTGGGCGGCGGTAGGGGGGTCGTACTAAATAACTTTCCCCGGAGAAGGTAAGTGTCATGCTTGCCGCGCAGGTCCGCACGCCCGCCGTGTGCAAAGTGAAGGTGCCTGCGAGACGAGCGCCAACGTGTAGCTGCTGTTCGCCTGCAGGCACCGCCCGTCTCTGCGCCGGGGATGGGGAGAGCTACACTCTCTCGAAACATCTGACTCGGCTACGGGTCCCTTTCGACGAACCCGCCGCTGCTGGGACTCGCCGGCGAGGGTGGCGGCGATGCCTGCAGCAAGGGCGCGATGCCCGGCAGCAAGGGCGGCGATGGCGAGAGCGGCGGTGGCGAGGGCGGCAGCGCGGGCGGCGGTGTCGAAGGTGGTAATGGCAACGACGGCGGAGGCGGCGGAGGCGGCGCGCTCGGAGGCTTTGATCGACTGTAGGTAAGGGTGCCCTGAAAGTCAACCTCCAAATTGCACCCAGTCGAGGCATCCGTCGCGATAGCACCTGTAAGGCAAGACAAGGTAAGGTAAACTTCTCCAAGGTGGTAAGGGGAGGGGGCAACCCTCGCGGCTGTAGCACCTGTTGTCGTGCTGCCAGAAATCTGGGCGGCATCGTTCTCCTCGTCCAAGTTGGGGAAGGTCGGGTTGGTTGTGATCTGAATAACGCCCAGCTGGATAGTATTGTCGAAGGCCAGCGGGAAGGAGACTTGCTGGTTGGATGTGAAGCGCATGCACGACCCAGAGTATTGTTCCCCCGCCTGGAGTCCACAGCCGGGGCCAGAGATGTCCTCGGCCGAGAAAGAGGTGTCCGCCCAGCCTGCACTCTTGCAGAGGCCGCAACCTCCATATGACTTGGAGGTGCCAGCCTGGCTGCACGTCTGCGCGACCTCCTCTGCAGGGAGACTCGAGTAGGGGATGAAGGTCATGGTCGAGTCGTCAAATATGTCGTAGCTCGCTTGGCAAACGGAAACACCCCACGATTGGCTCTCCACCAAGCACTCCAGGAGGACCTCCATGAACGCTCCGGAATTAAAGTGGGCTGCAACATAGTCGTATCCACTGATCGATGCTTCCTGCACCTGGCTCTTCATCGCGACGGAGATGTTGTATACGGTCCCTCCCCGGATTGGCTCACCATCGAGCGTGCAGAGGTTCGGCCCGACCCTGCGCAAGTCTATCACCCCGAAGCCCGAGCAGCTCGAGAGTCTGCGTGCCTCGCTCATGATGCGCGCGCGCAGGTACGGACTACCCAACGCTTTCAACCACAGCGCGTCGACTCGCTCGCTCTTCTTGGGCCTTTCTATCAATCGACACAACTCTTACCGAGGGACCAGCTGGAATGTTGTTCTCCGTCGGGTTGTGGATAGTCCGGAATAATGTCTGGAGCTCACAGTCAGCTCAGTCGGGGGTGAGATATGTCCTCACAGCTGATGATAGACTTGCGCAGACACACACACACACACACACACACACACACACACACACACACACACACACACACACACACACACACACACACACACACACACACACACACACTGTCTAGGAATCCTAGGTTAGGTAGGAAGATGAAGAACAGCCAGGCTCGGACTGGACACCAACGCGGTATGTATGGGTGGACGCTGGACAGATGATGACGACACGAGCGACACACAGACACAAAGACTAAATTTTAGGTAGGTAGGTAGAAAGGTGAAGAACAGCCAGGCTCGGACTGGACACCAACGTGGTATGGGTGGACGCTAGACAGACTGTTTGGTGTACTTAAAAGAATTACACGCGCAAAAAGAATTTCCTCGCGGCAGTCGTGCGAAATCCCGCCCCTAGCTGGCTCGGGGGCGCGGGCGTGGCGCCTGCAGTCCTCCCCGTCTTTGTTTTCTTTTTTGTCTTGCTCTGTCTTTTAGCGGCAGCCCTGAACCTGTCGCCTCCTGTCCCTCTCCAATGCCGCCCATCACATCCCTGCTCCTGGCGGGTGCGGTGGTCCTGACGGGCGGCGCGGTGGCCACCGCGCCGCCCGCCAGCTTTTCGCGCTTCGCGGCGGCCGTCTCGCGGCTGCAGGAGAGCATGATTTCTGCCGCCAAGGCTGCCGACCCGGCCGCGGTGTGGACAGTCGACTGCCACTCGCGCGGCAAGGCGGTCATCCTGGAGGAGGGCGACGTGTGGGAGAAGGGCTGCATCTCGGTCACGCAGATTGACGAGGGCGAGCTCTCTGCCGTCCGCGCCGCCACCATCTCGGGACGCACAGGCGCGAGGATCGAGGCGGGTGCGCGGTATTCTGCGTGCGCGCTCTCGTTCGTGCTGCACGCGCGCTCGCCGCTCGTGCCGACGCTGCGAGGCGACGCGCGCGTCTTCGTCGTCGGCGAGCGCGAGTGGTACGGCGGCGGCCTCGACCTGACTCCCTCGTACGTGGAGGAGGAGGACTGCGCGTACTTCCACGCCAGCCTGGCGGCGCTGTGCGGCAGGCACGGGCCCGAGGGGACGTACGAGGCGATGAAGGCCTCCTGCGACGACTACTTCTTCCTCCCCTGCCGGCAGGAGCACCGCGGCATCGGAGGCGATCGCCTCGCTCCCTTCTCGCCTCGAGAGTGGAGAAGTTGACTTCACCTCAGTTTACCTCTCGCCTCTGCGCGCGCCCGTCGCCGCTGGCCTCGCGCCGCCCGCGCTCGCTCTGCTCTCCCCTTCCAGCCTAGCCCCCCCGCCCCCCCGCCCCCCCTCCCACTCCCCCCCTCCCACTCCCCCCCTCCCACTCCCCCCCCTGCTCCCGCAGGCGTCTTCTTTGATGACCTGGCCGAGGCGTGGGCGCCCGCGTTTTGCGAGGAGCCCCTCGCGTGCCGCCGCCGCCGCCGCGCCCGTGATTTCTTTTCTCAGCGGGCGGGGCGTCTCGTGTCTAGGACCTGCTCGCCTCCGCCCTCGACCCGACGGGGCCGTACCTGCCGCTCGTGGAGAGGCGGCGCTCGCTCCCGCACTCCGAGGCCGAGAAGGCGTGGCAGCTGCTGCGCCGCGGCCGCTACATCGAGTTCAACCTGCTCTATGACCGCGGCGTCAAGTTTGGCCTCTCGCCCGACTCGGTGGAGCGGGTCCTCGTCTCGTCGCCGCCGCTCGTCGCCTTCCGGTACAAGGCCAGCGCCGAGCAGCCCGAGGGCTCGCGCGAGGCCGCGACGCTCGACGTGCTCCGCCATCCGCGCGACTGGGTGGCAGCCGGCGGCGGCGGCGCCTCGTCGGCTTCCCGGGAAGGGGACAGCGCGGCGGCGGCGGGTGGCGGGAGGGAGTGAATTTGGTTAGACATCTGCACGATTTAGCCTTCGTGAGCAGGACTCCTCCCCGACGGGGCCCAGAACAGAATCACAAAAAATATACTCTCCGACGCCGAGCGCGAGGTTCGCCCGCCCCCGGGGCTTGCTGGTCCAAGTGGCGTGGGCCGTGGACTCTGAGGTTTCGCGCGTCCCCCTGGCCCTAGCCCTGGTTGGTCCAAGTGTGGCGTGGGCCGTGGCGGTCAAGACAGAGCTGTCGACGCAATGCGTTTCCGCGCCGCGTCAACGCGGGTCTTCAGAAGGATGTCCTCATCGCGGCCCTCGATGCTCATCAATGGTGCTCTCGTGCACGGCGGCACCACGGCTGCCGTCATCAACCCTGCCAGCGGCCAGGAGTTTGAGCGGGTGCCGAATGCGTCGGCGGCGGACGTCGACAGCGCGGTGGCGGCAGCCAAGGTCGTGTGCATACTCCCGCTAGTGCCATACAACGTAGCAGTTGTGTCTTGTGCGCCTGAACCTACGCACGCCTGCCTTGCGCAAAGGCGGCCTTTGGCGGATGGGCTGCGCTGCCCTTTGCGAAGCGCGCCGCCTGCTTCATCAGCTTTGCTGCCCTGCTGGAGAGGGACAAGGGGCGGCTCGCAGCTGCGCTGTCGCAGGAGCAGGGCAAGCCACTCAAGCCCTTTGCGGTGGGCGAGGTCAAGATGGCGATAGGCAAGGCAAAGGCATGCGCGGACTCGGCCAACGAGCTGGTGCCAGAGGAGTACGAGAGGAATACAAAGGGGCGGTGCACCTGCCTCTGGGCGCCACGGGGCGTCGTCGCCGCCATCTGCCCCTGGAACTTTCCACTCGCGATCGCCGTCAACAAGATGCTCTGCCCGCTGGTGGGCGGCAATACGGTGGTGCTCAAGCCGTCGCCGATGACGCCGCTCTCCACGCTCCTGCTCTCGGACCTTGCGATGGAGGCATTCCCGCCTGGCGTGGTCAACATCCTCGCAGGAGGCAGTGATGTCGGCGCGGTGCTCGTCGAGCATCCCGACGTCGCCACCGTCACCTTCACCGGCTCCAGTGCTACCGGGAAGCGCATCATGGCCTCGGCGAGCCCTTCGCTCAAGAAGGCGCCGCGCCGCAGCTGTGGCAGCGCAAACGCCTCGGCGTCTCGTCATGATCCCGGAAGTCATCTCGGCGGCAGGTGCTGCTCGAGCTCGGGGGCAACGATCCGGCCATCGTGTTGCCGGGCTCGGACGTCGCAGCGCTCGCGCCGCAGCTGTTTCAAAAGGTAGGCTTTCAACACACACGCGGTACCTGGGTATGATACGAGCGAAGCGTGCCTGCGTACCGCAGGCGATGTTCAACACCGGCCAGGTCTGTGTCGCGCTCAAGCGGCTTTACGTCCACGCCTCGCAGTACGAGGAGATGGTGGCCGCACTGGGCGCCGAGGCGCGAGAGAAGGTGCAGCAGCTCGGCGACGGCCTCACGCCCGGCACCGTCTACGGACCACTGAACAATGCGATGCAGCGCGACCGTGTCGAGGTGCCTCGCAGAGGTGGACCACGATGTGCACGTCCACCCACATCCAGCCTGATTTCTCTTCGCAGGAGCTGGTGGAGGACGCAAGGGCGGATGGCGCGCGCGTGGTTGCGGGAGGAGAGCGCGTACGGCCACCTTCCGCTCCACAGGGCTTCTTTTACGCACCAACAATCCTCGCCGACTTGCCCGACACAGCACGCATCGTGCGCGAGGAGCAATTTGGCCCCGCGCTACCGGTGCTGTCGTACGAGACGGTGGACGAGGCGGTCGAGCGCGCAAACGACTCGGAGTACGGCCTCGGCGCGTCTGTATGGGGCGCCAACGTGGCAGAGGCGGCCGGCGTCGCGGCGCGCCTGCAGGCAAGGCGACGTGCGAGATGCGGCCGAGGAGAGGGGGGGGGGGGCGGGTAGGGAGAGGGCCGTCAACACTCAACGTCCGACGCCCACGCAGGCGGGCAGCATCTGGATCAATAACCACCTTGGGTCCGGCCTTGACATTGACGCTCCGTTCGGCGGCGTCAAGGAGAGCGGCATCGGCAAGGAGAATGGTGGCAAGCTCGCCTTCAAAGCGTTTTGCGACGAAAAGTACCTCTACGCGCCCTTCCCTTTGTAGTGTCGAGCCGGGTGCGGTGCGCGTCTGATTTTTGTGTTTGTCGCGTCTGCGGACGGCGCGCGCTCGTCGTCGTCGAGTCGCCCTTTGACAGCTTCGGGCCCGCCACCTACGAGCGCGACGAGCTCGGCTTCACCAACCGCGACCTGGTGCCCGCGGAGGCCAACCAGAAGGAGCTGTACGGCGACCTCGACCCGCTCGCGGCGCCGTGGCGCAAGCCGACCCCGTCGATGCGCGACGCCAAGGAGGGGCTCGGCGAGCTGCTGAGGCGAGAGTCGGACGACCGCGTCCGGAGTCGGTAGTCGCGTCTGCTGGTGGTGCGTTCCTGTGCGCATTGCACCGAACGAGAGCGTGGCATGTTTACTCACGCCGACCTCCGTTCCCTTGCGGCTCCTGCTACCTCGTATAGGTCGTCGTATAGATCGTACGCTGCGTATGCTGCGGCGCCCTAGAGGTGGCGCCTCGCTTGCACGACCCGCAGGGCCGCTTCTGCCGGGCTACGAGTTAGGGAGTCGACAGCCGTAGCGTGCAACGGTCTGCCCGCACCGCAGTCCGCGCCGGAGGTAGCGGCAGCCCGCAGGAGCGCCGCGGCAGCAGAGAGTACTCCACCCCCCTTCCGTTTTTATGGCGCATATGTGGTCAGAAGTCTCACTTCCGCACACCCTCGCGAGCGAAAATCCTGCAGCCGGTTGTCGGTATGCCTCCCACCGCATCGGCGCGCGCGTCGCGGGCCTCTCGCCAGCGCAGCTGTGCGCCATCATCGAGGCGCAGGCGGGCGCGAGCGCCGCCGCGCTGCGCGTGGCGGAGGAGCACGCCGCTCGGCTCGTGGAGCAGCCCGAGTGGATCCTCTCCGAGGTCCTCCTCTCGCCGGACCTCGCCCCGCACATCCTCGCCCAGCTGCCGACCACGGAGCACGCCGTCAAGGGGACGTGCCGCGCGTGGCGCCGCGGCTGGAAGGAGACGCTGAAGAAGCGCGAGAGGCCGCGCCTGCTCGTGTTCGGCAGCCACGGCAGCAACGATGGCGAGCTTGAGCGGTACGACCCGTCCACGAATGAGTGGGAGGAGGAGGCTGTGGCGCCAATGCCGACGGCACGAAATGAAGCCGGCATGGCGGTGCTCGACGGCAAGCTGTATGCTGTGGGCGGCTATAGCGAGCACGACTACCGCAGTCTCAGCTCGGTGGAGCGGTACGACCCGGCGGAGAATGCGTGGGAGGCGGTGGCGCCGATCTCTACGGCTCGGGAGGATCTCGCTGTCGCGGATCTCGATGGTTCGCTGTATGCTGTGGGAGGGCACAGCGCCGGCGCCCTCAGCTCAGTCGAGCGGTACGACCCGGCGTTGGATGCGTGGGAGGAGGTGGTGCCGATGGCGACGGCGCGGCAGGCTCACGCCGTGGCGGTGCTCGATGGCAAGCTGTATGCGGTGGGCGGCTTGAACGACGACGACGACTCCCTCAGCTCGGTGGAGCGGTACGATCCGGCTGCCAATGCGTGGGAAGCGGTGGCGCCGACGGGGACGACTCGCTTCGGGGCTGGGGTGGCGGTGCTCGACGGTAAGCTATACGCTGTTGGCGGGTACAGCGACGACGGCGGCGTCCTCAGCTCGGTCGAGCGGTACGATCCCGCCACGAACGCGTGGGAGGCGGTGGCGCCGATGGCAGCGGCGCGGTATCGTCACGCTGTTGCGGTGCTCGATGGCAAGCTGTATGCGGTGGGCGGACAGGGTGCCGGCCACAACCGCCTCAGCTCGGTCGAGCGGTACGACCCGGGCGAGAATGTGTGGGAGGCAGTGGCGCCGATGGCGACGGCGCGACGCGCTTCTGTCGTAGTCTTGATGTAGTGGGCTTAGGCGCGGGTGCGGCGGCTCTGTCCACCTCAGGTCTTGAGCGCTCCCAGCTAGTACCTCTCTCCGCCCAGCGCGCACAAAATACAAAAAGACCCGCCTGAGACCCCCGTGAGCCGTGTATGAATAGAGAATACGCACAAAGCACAAGCTCGTGCACATTGACGATGACACGTACACTTATGTGTGGAGTGTGCAGTGTTGCGCAGACGCACCTCGCACATCAGCTGACTCATGATCTTTTGTTTTCCGAAAACAAAACGCGTCCCGACGATCCAAACCACACAAAAACTCTCTCTTTTTAAGAACTCTCTCTCTCTCTCTCTCTCTCTCTCTCTCTCTCTCTCTCTCTCTCTCTCTCTCTCTCTCTCTCTCTCTCTCTCTCTCTCTCTCTCACGATCCACACGAAACCAGGACGCACGGCAGTCGGCACCCAACAAAGCTCCGAAAAAAACAGAACAGCCTGGACTGTATGTATGTATGTAGGAAGGTGAAGAACACTGCTCGTTCTCAGGGTGGCACATTCCTGTTCACACCCACACACGGGGTAATCACCTCCCGCTCCCCCATGAATGTGAATCGCCGAACTTGAACGGCGGGCGCTTGACGAACCAGGGGGGAACGGGCGTGGCAACCACAACCACGTCGGGCGTGGTTGTGGCAACTCATGATCGAACCAGCGACTCATAGAGTCGAACCACGACTCATAGAGTCGAACGTAACCACGGCGGACGTGGTAGTGGCAACCACGGCGGACGTGGTTGTGGTCGATCATGATAAAACCGGAAAGGAATAACAAAAGCCACCCCCACGACTGAAAAGTCTTAATGGACCTGTCCTAGACTCTGTGGCTGAAGTAGCGTGTGCGTCGAAGCCACAAGAGGGCTGGCGTCGTTCGGAGTTCCTTGAGAGGGGGGTTGGCGTATTTTGGTTTCCCTGAACGGTTGATGCGGTGGGAGGCCATCGGCGCGGGCGGCTGCAGGACAGGCGAAATAACGAACGAAGGCAAGAGGATTTCGCTGGAAGAGTGTGCGGTACTGATTTGCCGGGCCACCCTGTCCAGAGAGGCATGGATGCCAATCTGGGGTCTCTCGACCGAGTCTATGAAGCCCTGGCCGCCTTCCGGTGGTGGCAGAGGTTATGGAACCAAGCGACGGAGATGGTGCGGGGGTACGGGTGTTCCAGGGGGTCACGACACGCACCGACCCTTCACGAACCGATTTGCCGAGTGGGGAGGGCGCCGGAACCGAAAAAGATTTGCTTTGGCCGCCCTTGGGCGAGCGTCGCGCGCAGACTCAGACAGGCCCGCTCCCCCTAGACGGCGGCCCTCGCCTCGAGTCGAACGGCCTCGCTGTACGGGGGCCGCAGTGACTCGGACGAGCTCTAGAAACTGCCGCCGAGTCCAACGGTGCCCGACCGAGCCGTGAGCGCGTCCTCCGATTTCCTCAACTCATGGCTGTGGTCCAACTGCTGGATCTTCAAGGCTGGCCACCAAATTCGACCACCAAATCGGGGTAGACATCACCAGCAGCTCTTTCGTTCATGTACTTGCCGAATCCTAACACTGGCTTGCCCCTAGAGCCAGACGGCATATGGCCGTCGGGCGGGCAGCCTTACAAGGGCAGAAACGTGACGGCGCACAACAAGATCATCTATGGCGCGAGCAGGGTCACGCTCCCCACGGTGGACGTGGCCGACCTGCCAGCCCTGCAACCCCTTGCGATACCAGCACCAAGCACCAGCATGTTGCCGGCGACAGAAGAGCTTCACCGCCTTGGAACCGAGGCGCTCAGGCTGGTGGGCCACTGAAGGAGGATCTTAGCACAGTGCTCAACAGGTCAGCGGCGCGTAGCAGGTAGGTAAGGTAAAAATCCCCGACACAGCAGCCCCCCCCCCCCACCACCCGAGCGGCCGAGCGATTTCTTTTCGTTGTTCTTTTGTTTTGTTTCGTCGCTGGCTGGTGGTGGCTGGGCTTAGTTGTTTCTTGTTGTTGTTGTTGTTTGCCACACACACGCACCCCTTTGGGGTCACAGGCCCCCCCCCCCCCCCCCGCACACACACACACGCCGCCGCCGCGCGAGCGCCGCGCAGCGGCACACCTGCTCAAAAAGCGGACTGGTCGGCAGGTTTAGGGAAGGAGGCGACGCAGCAGGCGTCCTCCCCCCCGGGGCAGGCGCGCGGCTCGCGCGCCGCCCCACCCACGCCGGCCCGCGAGGGCCGGTCGTCCATCGCCATGTCCCGGGACGTCCAGCGTGGACATGTCCAGGGGGAAGCTGTGACTAAGGGCACCCCGTTCCTCCTATCCCCGCACTCCCTCAGCAGAGGGCTTCCAGGCCGCGGTCGGCCTGGGTCGAACAGGTAGGGACCAGATCGCTAAGCTTCCACTGGTGCGAACAGGTACGAGACGTCGTCCGAAGCCGCCTCCGCAGTGTACTGCCGAGCCCCACCCCGCTCAGCAGTACATATGTTGCTGCCCAAACAGCAGCACCTCCATCTCCTTGCCACCAAATCAGGGGTAGGGGGCAGCACCTACCCTACCCCCAAACACCTCGAACCCAGTTGGTGCACACGCTGGCTCAGACGGCTGGCAGCAGCGCAAGTGAAGTACGTGGCGGGTCGTCTCGCAGATTGGGCCTATCGAAAGAGCAATGCGTCCCTCGAGGGTCGTCTCGCACATTCTCTGGCAGGCTGTTCCTGTGGCGTGCATTCGCCTGGGCATCGCCTCGAAGATCATCGTTGACACAATTGCTGGACGGACCAGGCCGGGTGGTGGTGGCGTGCAGGCGGCTGCGGGAGCGCGCCTCACCAGCGACCGAGACTCGCTGCAGATCGACCTGTTCGCGCCGGTTGGCCTCGACTTTGACGACTCGCTGCTCACGCCTCTGCGGTGCGACTTCGGCGTCAACACCTCTCGCGTGACGCCTCTCGATGCTGCAACCAGCACTCCGGGCGAGAAGATCAGCTACGACGACGAGACGGGACAGATGCGCTTCGAGCCCGTGGGGTGGGAGTGCTGGGATGAGCTCTGCGCGTGGGAGCCGCCGATGGCCGAGTCCGCGTACGACGCGCTGCACGTGATTGTCGAGGGAGGCGGCGCCGGGGAGGTGCGGGCGACTCTCCGCGCGTGCGAGGCCGCTCGGCGCGGGAGCGGCGGGAGCGGCGGGAGCGGCGGGGGCGGCGGGGGCGGCGGGGGCGGCGGCAGCCTGCCGTGCGTCGGTGTCGAGCCGATCCTGCACGAGGTGGACGCGGCCGCTCTCGCGGGGCTGCGCACCGTGACACGCATCGCGACGGTGTGCTCTCCGGACTTGGCCGCCGCGGTGTGCATTGCCCGCGTCGCCAGAGCAGAGCGAGGCGCTCGCGGCGCCGCGGCTGCGGGAGTGGCGCTCCGCCCCGCCCACGACGTCGCGCCGCCGTCGCTAGCCGCGCTGCGCCGCTCCCTCGACGCAGCGGGGCCATCGGCGGCGAATGACGCCGCGTCAACCGCCTTGCTCGACGTCGCCGCGGACGCGTTTGACGAGCTCGCGATGCAGCCCGGCGCGATCCTCGCGATCCGCGACGGGGCGCACGGCTCCTACCTCTACTCGCGGCCGGCGCCGCACGCGCCCCTCGCCCACTGGCTCGCCGACGCCGGCCGGCGTGACTTCGAGTGGTTCGCCGCGGTGCCGGCTGCCAGGCTCGACGCCGTGGCCGACCCCACCGGCGCGGGCAACGCGTACGCAGGCGCGCTGACGGCGCAGCTCGCGGCGGGGGCGGAGCCGGTCGCCGCGGCGGCCACGGCCTCGGCCGTCGGCGCCGCGTTTTGCGCCGCCGACGCGTGGGCGCCGGAGGACGCCGCTGCCGCGGGCCGGTGGGTCGGGGCGGCGCGAGCCGAGGTGCTGTCGCGGACCCGTGTGCTGGTGCAGGAGGGGGAGGGGGCTAGGGGTGCAGGCCGCCGCGCAGAGACCAGGGCCGCAGAGTTCTAGTAAGTGCTAGGTTTTGTGGCATCATGTCAGCTGAAAGTGAAACGCCTGAATATTGGTATACGCGCAAACTGTGAGAGAATCGCAACGCTCTGTACGTATGTTTCGGGATTTCCTATGTCGGTCTCGTACGCGAGGGCCCGTCTTTGAGCGCAGGTCTCACAATGATTACAGAACTAGAACACGGCCCGCCTTTCGTGGGCTTAGACAAGGCTGTCTAGCTAGGGCCCGTCTTTCGTGGGCGATTTCGAGGAGGACTGCCAGCGTTGGCTCCGATGCCCGGCGCCGTCCACTAAACCTAACACCATCCATGCCCCTCCTGTTCAGCACCGGTTCCTGTCGTCTAGACGTGGAGACGCGAGGATCGCCTCCCTTGCCCCACGCGTGTGTCAGGAGAAGTTTCCTCGTTTACCTTACCTTAGCACCGGTTGTACGTCGCACAGTTGCGCTTCGCGGTGCTCAGTCGGTCCCAGTACTTGCCGAGTGGGTGGTTCGCATACGGTAGGCCGCCGGCGTAAGGGGTGTAGTCTTGGTGTTGGGCCCATCCGTAGAGGGACAGCCAGCCGACGGGATCGAGCAGGAGGTAGCCGCCGTCGCCGACGTGGAACCACCCAGTGTTGCATGGCGGCACAGATGGCACGTTGTCATTGTAGTTGACCCAGCGCTGGGTGCGGACGTAACCATTGGGAGGCACACGCAGTCCGTAGTCGCGGGGGTGATCCGAGTATCGATCGCTGCTGTGCTGGTCGGGCCCTGTCCAAAGAAAGACCTCAGGGTGACTGCCTGGCGGACCACTCCAGCTGCCGTCGTCATTCCATCCCTGCTGCACATCCCTGGCCGAGTTGCCGTATTTCTCGCCCCACTTCTGGAAGACGCGGGGAGCGCCTGCTGTGCGAAGCAGCACTGCTGCATTGTAGCGCAGTGCCATCTCCGTGGCGCCGAGGGCGCCAAGGGCTCCGCCCATCGAGTGTCCCACCACCACAACTGGCGTGTTGGCGAAGGAGTCCGCCACGGCATCAATAGCCTGACGCAGCCCGGGCTTCCCACCCTTGCCATCCATGACTTCAACATAAAAGTCGACGAACCCGGCCGCGGCGCCGAACATCCGGCCGCGTCGACCGAGATCGATGCCCTTCGCGCACCAGGAACCCGCGTTGGCATAGCTCCAATCCTTCTTGTCGTTTGAGCCTGCGAAGCCCAGCACGTAGATTTTCTGCGGAGTGCCGGTCAGGCTGCCGTCGTCATACCACGGGCCGAAGAAGCCCTGTGGCCCCTCCCCTTCGTCGACCTCACGGTACGCCACGGCACCATTCTCGATCAAGGTCTGCTTGGCTTGAGCCGCTTCCGCATGTATCCCGACCGTTGCTTTCTCGCTGTACTCGAAAAGGTAGGCGGCGTACATCAGCTTGACTGACTGCCTGCCCGCCTCGAGCGCAGCCTGGGAGATGAAGGTGGAGGTTGTTTCCCAGTCGCGGCTCCAAGGCTGGCACCCCTGGTTTGGATCGGTGAGCAAGCGCCCGCGTGCTGTCGCTGGCCCTGGATGATAGGCGTGGCCGTCGCACGCCGTCACATTGTGAGGGGCGAAGGCTCCGGACGGTGGCAAGAGCGCGATGAACAGCCCGATTACACACCGCATCGTGCCACTTGGAAAGCCTCCAGTGTCAGCGAGCCGACGGAGGACCGAGGGGGGTGCAACTTTTCAGCACGGCCGATTTCTTTTTTCGGTCAGTTCGAATTCTCTCGCCAACTCTCGCAGCGACATTCCTTCATGCCACCCCAACCGCTCGCGGTCTTCCCACTGGGTGCGCTTCTTAGCTCCCCGGCCCTGGGCATGTGCCAACTGCACTTTGGTTCTCGAGGTGGATATCCTTTGGCCGCGTTGGGTAGCGAGGATTGGTGTGACGCGATCCACGCAGGCGTGTTTTCTGACGGCGGACCGTCAGTGCACGGAGTTTTGCGCCCCTGCCTCCATGCTTGGTGGCTCACGCAGCCTTTTTCTTGGCGCCAGTTGCCGCTTGTCACGCGCGCACGCGAGAAGACTCACAACACTCTTGCCAACAACATAGGGGGCAAACACTCAGTCACACGCGATTTGAAATCAAAAAATTAGTAGGCCAAGAAGATCGTGAAGCCCGCGCCGCGTCCGGCGCTCGCTCCGGCGCTTGCGCTTCGTGGCGGCGCCATGAGCCTGCCCGAGGCGGCGGTCGCTGCCAATGGTGTGACGAGCGCTTTCTACGGGACGATGATGCTCTTCGCCACGAACAAGCTCATGGCGTCGTACGGCTTGGAGGCGGTGGCATTCTTGTCGCCGACGATAGGCGCGTTCCAGTACCTCGGCGCAATGCAGATGATGGTCGCCCTGCGCTGCTACGCTGCCCCTCGTTGCAAAGGTCCGCGATGCGTGAAGCAGACCCTCGAGGCCATGATCTACCTGAACCTGTCGATGCTGACCGTCGCCGGCATTCGCGCTTACATGGGCTCCGCGCCGTCGAAGAAGAACGTCGCCATCTTCGCCCTCCTCTCCGCCCTCTCGTACTTTGGCTGGACCAAGTCTGAAGACACACGCGCCAAGATTCGAGAGCAGCGCGGACCCCCCGCGGTACCCCTCAGAGCTTCGTTCCTCTCTTATCTGCCCGAGGTGCGGCACAATCTGCTCAGGTATACCTAGCTTAAGTGTGCAGTCTCGGTGTACACTGATGTTTATTGCGCGTCAACCGACACCAACACGACCTCTGTGGGGGTGGCGGGCCCGCTGGCTCGCAAAATGGGCGTAGCACAGCCAGACGAATGGCTTGTAGGTACAACACGCGCTACTGGGGGAGTGAGACATAGCTCATAGGTCATAGGAGAAATGCCCTAATTGTGTAATGAGTGAACATGAGGGTGCATCAACATCGCACGTCCACCACACACACACACGCGCTCGGTCATTCCTTGATCGGCAACGCTCGGTCATTCCTTGATCCAACGGCAACGCTCGGTCATTCCTTGATCGCGGGAGCTGCTGCTACCTTGTTCGTCCACGGCTCCTCCTCGTCCGCACAATACGCTACTCGCTAGACATGTCGCTAGACTCTCTAGACACAACACGTCACACACGAGAGTGGGGCAAGGTTTCTTTAGGGATATAGGGCTGTGGCAACACTCGCATCCAACGACCGAACCGGCCATCGAATGTGCCAGAGGCTCTGCGCTCCGAACCACATCGCAGATTCCGGGATCTGCGAGCTCTCCCGCACCCACACCCCCATTACGCGAGACCAGAGCGCAGAGCGGCAGGGTTAGGGAGTGCAGAAGAGACGAACGCGCTGTCAATACGAGGCTCATCTCGCACTCAGCCCTGCAGTGGTATAGTGTCCACAAGGTACCAACCCTCCACAGGCCCCTGCGTACTCCACACCTCAATGCAATCGACCAGGAATGAGGTCGGAACTCGCTGTCTGATCTGAGCCGCAAGCTGGGGCAAGTGCGCACGCTTCAGCTCGGGGCTCAGGTCCCCATAAATGAGCGAAAGATGTGGCATGTAGTGTGGATCGTTTGAGCGCTCCTCAAACACCATTCGTGCTGCCCTGTTGGCCGCAACTCCTCGTCTGGAGCGACAAAGGGTCTGGTGCCAAACTCGGCGCTGCCCACCTTGAGCACGTCGCCGGTGTCGGACGAGACAAGCAGGACGCCGTCAACCTCGGTGTCCTTAACAGCATAGACGACCGCTGCTGTCAGGCCCGCATTGATGCCGACCGAGGCTAGCAGCGCGAGCACCAGCACCATCGCAAACCTCCGAAAGACCTGAGAGATCTTGCGCTCCCTTGTGGCCTCCTTTTGGGCCTCCCGCTCCGCCGCCGTCTTCTTGGCAATGTCCTCGGCGACGTCGACAGCTTCTTTCGCGTCAATGACGCCATCGTTGTTGTCGTCGAAGCTCGTCATCACCATTGACGGGCCACCGCCGGACTCTGGCGGCGACGGCGGCGGCGAGAAGGCCGAACGGCGAAGGTGTCGCGAGATCGAGGAGGACGTACCGCAAACCCCGCAAAGTGGCCCGTTTTCTCAGTGTACTTTTAGCTTACTGGGAGAAAGGGGAGAACGGCACGGCGGGCGCGGCACTGTAGGAGCGGCGGTACGGCGGCACGGCGGTAACGGGCGGCAGGGGGGACGGCGGGCTAAACGGCAAGGGCGGCGCGGCACGGAGGAAGGAGCGGCACGGTAAGGAACGGCGGCACGACGGCAGACCACCGCAGCGAACGGCGGAGCATTGGGCGGCGGGAAAACGGCTGGGCGGGGGGGGGAGGGGGGCGAGGGTGAGGCGAGGGTGGCGGCTTTTTACCCACCCACGCCCGTGCGCGCGTATCTTAAGGATACAGTCCCTCGTCACAAGCTGCCGCCGCAACTTGCGGAACTGATCTACGACAAGGCGCGCAAATGCGTGCATGGCTCACAGCGAGCACCATGCGTAGAGCTTTCTGACGCAAAGGTCTGAATAGGCAGCTCGGCGTGTCGCATCCGTGATGCGTGGAGACTGAGAGTTTGCGCGCCAGAGCTGCTCCATACTCAAACGTAGAGCACCCACTAATTAAGCGGTCGCCGCCAGCAAAGAGTACAAATACACATATGTAGGGAAGCTTGGGTACAGAGAATCTCGCGTGAATCTTTCCCCTCCGCCCCAGTTGAGAGGAGGCTCCTGCCAAGGGGGGTTGCCCCCCCCCCCCCCCTAGCGCGCGCGAGGGCAGTCTTAGCGGACGGTATGCTTAGGCACCATTGTGCGCCATCGTTCCACTGAGCGGAGGGCTGCGTGGCCGGGCATGTAGACGGACTCGTGAAGCAACGGTGTAATCAGGGGCTCGTCGTCGATCGTGGGGGTGTAATAGTAGAATGAGAGCGACTTTCGGGCCTCGCCGTGCGGGTGGTTGACCGGGTCGAGATGGCCGTGAATGGAGACGTCAGTAACCGAGAAGATGGCGATCCGATTGAGCTCAGGCAGAACTTTTTTTGAATATTGAAGGAACGAGTAGCGCGGGTCGGTCTCCCACAACTCAAAGGAGCCTCCCCACTCCTCGCGCCAGCCCTCGTTCAGGTACATTAGCAAATTTAGGCGTCGCCAGCCTGGTGTGACCACCGTGCAGCCAGGTTTTGGCTCACCGTAGGTGGGAATGGGCGAAATCCCATTTTGGCAGGTCTGGTGCTTGTTGAAGTCGGTGTGCAGCGAGAGGAAACCGCCGTTAACAATCGAGAAGGGGCCACCTCCAAACATTCGGCTATCGGCCGTCAAATTGCGGATGCCGGTCAGTGTTTCGAGGAAGGCAATGAAGCGCCTCGACTGGAAGAAATCGAAGAGTCTCACAGTGCTAGGCCCAAACACCTCGGCCTGCGTGTTTTCTGGGTAGCCACCACGGCCTCGCTTCGCGCCCATTGGAGTGCTCCGCGATTTCCAGAAACTGGAGTCGCCAGATGCGGAGGAAGATGGCAAGTGGTGCTTCGCCTGAAGCTCCTTCATGCAAGCATGTGCCAACGCCTCGGGCACGAGATTGTCGATCACAATGTGCTTGTACGGATCCGCGCTCGAATACGTCGACGCATACCGTCGGGCAAAGTCCTGCAACGCGCTGTGCGAAAGATGGCCGGCTCCACGCGTCGCGCTCACATTAATGGCCGTGCCAAACGTGTAGCGCTGCCGATCCTTTGGTGGCCCGTACATCAACTCACCTGCGCCACGAGGCCGCTGCTCAAATTGCGTGCCGCAGCCCGCGCCAGAGATTTCAGGTCGGCAGTGGTGGTGGCCGCGGCGGCGGACTCCTCGGTGGTGGTATGAGAAGGTGGTGCTCGACGCGGAGGATTCCGCGGGAGCCGCTGCTGCGCCAGGGAGGCACGCGATGGCGGCGGTGAGGCAGACGGCCCACGCCACGCCGCGCCGAGCCCCCTTTCCGCTCGCCGCGGTCGGCCAGGAGGCGCCGCAAGCGATGGCGAGGAGGATGAGCACGAGGGCGGGCACGAGAAGCGGCGAGCAGCTCACGAGCGAGGACGCCTTGGAGGCGACGGCGGGCGAGAAGGCCGAGGACGCCGCCGAGGCGACGCCGGATGAGAAGGCCGAGGACGCCGAGGCGACGGCAGACGAGAAGGCCGAGGCCACCGCCGTCGGGCTAGGCACGGCGGACGCGCAGTGGCCAAAGGCGGGCATGCAGACGAGGAGCAGCCACCGGAAGGCGCCCTCGGCCTTCGTGTAGCCGCCCTGCACGCAATCGGCCGCCGCCTTGAGGCCGGCGCGACCGCCGGCGCCGCACGTGCCAGCGGCGAATGGCGCCTTGCCGGACGCGGGCGGCTGCGGCTCGCGGCGCCGGTCCGGCGACTTGCAAGGAGCAGACATATCCTGCGGCCCGCCGCGCGGCTTCGGTCGCCGGTGCGAGCCGCGGCCGCGGCCCTTTGCCTTGCCAGACTTGCGCCTGCCCTTGCCAAACGTGGGATTGTTGCGGCAGCGCATGGCCTTGCGCCGGCACTTGCACCCGCACGCCGACCGCTCGGCGTCCAGCTTCGCCCGCTGTATCTTGGTGAGCAAGATCGCGGCCATCGCCTTGTCGCGCACGGCGAGATAGTACTCGCGTGACGCGGCGTCGGCCTGCCCCGCGCCCGCGACCGGCGCGCCAAGGGGCTTGGACGCCACGGGCGCAATGCCGCCGGAGGTGGGGACTCTCGGCGACGGCGACTTCTTGCCGTCGGCGGGCGTAGCCTCGTAGACGACGCTCTCGCCCAGCCGGCGGACTTCGGCCTCGACGCCGCCCACGTAGCCCGGTCCGGAGCTGCGGGCCGGCGCAGGCTCGCTCTCCCCCACCGCCGTCGGCGTGGGCAGGCCCGGGTAGCAGGCGGTGTCCTGCAAAGCGCGATAGGGGCACACGGGAAGGGAGATTATTACCGGTGGGAGAGCGAGGAGTGGCCGGAGAGAATGCTGCGGCGCGCTCACCGCTGGGTCGGGCGGGTTGGAAACGGTCTTGGCCGGCTTCTCGACCTCCTTTGCAGCCTCCTTGGCGACGGCCCCCTCGGCGACGGGCGCCTCCTCGGCGACTGCCTCCGCGGCGGCGGACACCTCGGCGGCGGCGGACTTGGCGGCCTCCTCGGTGGCAGACTCCTCGGTGGCGTCGGCTTTCTCGGTGGCGGCGGACTTGGCGGCGGCCTCCTCGGTGGTCGCCTTCTCGGTGGCGGCCTCCTCGGCGGTCGCCTCCGCGGTGGCCGACTCGGGGTCCTCCTCGACGGCGGCGCTTGGCGGCAACTCCTCGGCGGCGGCGGACTTGATGCCGCACGCCTGGGTGAGGGGAGAACACGCAAGTGTGCGGAGACAGGGAGGCCGTAGAGATGATGACAATCCTGGCGTGCGCACACTCACCTCGGCTCCGAGGAGCGAAGGCGACAGCGACGTGATGCCGACAGGAGCCGTCGGCGCCGACTCGGACGGGACGTCATTGCCGTTGCCGATGACGTCATCGAGCGACGCGGGATATATGCCAGCGGCCTCGCCTCCGGCAGCGTTGACGGTCATGTTGCCCGCCAGCGACGCCTGTGTCAGCCAGAAGGCCAGAGGATAAGTCTTGCAGGTGGGAGCGCATTGCACGTGCGCGAAAGCACACGCCTGCTTGTCAGCAAGCGGCGGCGGCGGAGGAGAGAGCTTGAGCACGAGCTGGTCACCGGCGGCCGGCACGAGCTCGAGTTTGAGCTTGTCGAGCATATTGATCGAGTTCCTGCAGCGCGGGGGGGTATGCACGCCAAAGAGAGTCGATAGATGCAGCTCATGGAGAAGGCTGTGTGACGGGTTCATGTGATAGACTGCTGCTGCTGGTTACTGGAGACTGTGCAGAGCACTACTATTATGACTGGGGACTGGAGACTGTGCAGAGCACTCCTACTATTACTGGTTACTAGACTGTGCAGAGCAGTACTATTATGACTGGTTGCTGTGCGGAGTCCTGCTGCTGCTGGCTGCTGCTGGTTACTGGATGTTGATCGAGTCGACTCGTACCTGCGAGGGGTGGATGGCGAGTGGTAGTGGGCTGAGTTCCTCTTTGAGAGGGGGGGTCGAGGGGGGGGGGGGGGGGGGGGGGGGCTCAAGGGCGCCGCACCTACTCGCAGCGTACGTAGCTTGAGGCCCAACTGCAAGAAGCCGCGGCGGCTCCCCTCGTCCCACCTTGTTTTCAGAGCGCGCAGGTGACGGCGGGCGAGCGTCAGCATCGCAAATGGGAGGAGTATGGCGCGGACTCGCTTCGGGCGTCGAGGGGGCGCAGTAGGCATGGAGGCGATTCGCGGCTGCGCGCTGGGCCGTCGCTCTGCCCGCAATCCGGGTGTGCACCACATTCATGTCGCTCGAGCCTTGGAGCGAGCCGCGCGCGGGGCGGGGCGTTCGCAGCACGGCGGGCACGGCACGAGCGCGCTGCAGCGCATGGGATGGGGGGCGAAGCGGCCGGGCACGCTCGCGCAAGGCCAACACGCGCTGCATCGCGGGGGGCGCCGGGAGAGTCGCAACCTGAGTCTGACGTGCACAACCCAGCCAGGCGCCGTAGGGATCGGACTCGAGTAGAAATCGTTCACAGAAAAACACTGGACAGCAGGTGTGTCTTGTGAGCCTGTTTGTGTCTGTGTGTCGCTCGTGCGTGTCGTCATCATCTGTCCAGGCGCCGTATACTCGAGTGCAACTCGTTCACAGAATTCTTAAGATACAAGCCTCTCTCACAGCACACTGGCACGACAAGGGCGCGGACTGGCGCGGACTGGCACACACACCGGCTCACCACCGGAGCCGCCTAAGCGACTCCGTTAAGAACGGCAATGCATTCCGCACCGTGCACAATGCCGCTCTCCCCGCACGCTAGCTCGTTCACCGTCTGCCACGCCACGGCGGTGTGGAGGACGACAGACAAGCGCTGCATCTGCAGCCCGTGCCAGTTCTTGGTGGTCCATGTGACCTCGTCCAGGTGCTGAGCATGCGAGAGTTTGTTGCTCAGCTGGTTCGCCGCCTCCCTCAGGGTGCTGCGGACCTCCTTTCCAAAGCCTCCGAAGCTCTCGAAGTCGAACAAGCGCAGATCGCAATCCTGCTCCCGCGCAAAGCGGTAATCGCCAGGCAGCTGCTGGAGCTTTCCCTTGGGGGCATCCGCATCCTCCCCCCCCCCCACCTCCTCCTCGGCCTCCTCCTCCTCCCCCGCCACCGCCGCTGCCGTCGCTCCCGACGGAGACCACTTGCCGCGCCCTTTGACCAACTTGAGCATCCCGGGCTCCGTGTTGCCGAAGCGAACATACGCCCCCTTCCAGCCGAGCTCTCCGTCGCCGGCCGCGTCCTTGCCCTTGCTCGCAAGCGAGCTCGTGAGCTTCAAATCGGCAACAAGGCGCCTGTGCCCCCTGCCGATGTTTGCCGCCGCCACGTCAGGTTGTTTTGGATTACTGTAACTGAGGTGTGCAGTCGGCTCCATCTCGATGACCATGCCCCACGCCGAGCGGAGGCATTTGATCAAACGTTTGAGTAGGAATTTGTGTCTTGTAGCATGCTTTGACCGAGGGTTAACCATCGCGGCGTCGCCAAGGACGTCGTGTAGCTGGCCGCTGAGGGCGGCGGTCGCGTACGTGCGGGCGGTCGGCGAGTACCCTCTGGCGGTGACAGAGGCGGAGGGCATGCAGCTTTCGAGTCGCAGCAGCACCGGTCACAAGGGCGTGTGCCGTGTGTAGTAGTACCCAAAAAACAAAATAAGAGGGCCTTTAACGGCACGGGCTGTCCGTGTGCTGGGGGCGTCGGCCGGCTCGCGCTTGCAGCATGGACAATACCAAACAACTCTAACACTCACACGTCATTTGGGGCCTGGAGCCCTGTTCACGCGCGCGCAAGACGTTGTGTGTGTGTGTGCAGAGGAGAGCGACGTGACAGAGCAGGAGGGGCTCTTCATTGAGCTTCGGTTGGAAAACAATCGCACTCGATCTTCACCAAACTTTTTCCTTCTGGCAAACTCTTCCATGGAATCGAGAGAGAGGGTTGTTTGTGGAGTGAAACATTCGAGGGAACACCGGCGCTTTTCTCGCGGCCGCGTTGGGTAGCGAGGATTGGTGTAACGCGATCCACGCAGGCGTGTTTTCCGCGACGGCCGATGTGTGCCCCTTCTCCCGCGA